CTAAATAACAATGGGAAGATATAAGCAAACAATACCAAGTAAATTTGATGTGTATAGTAGTTCTGATTATCTAATATTCATTAACCCAGTTTCTGTACATCGTACAGATAATACAAAGCATTTGAATTTAATCCAACTTCGATTTCTGTTATTAATTAATGGCTTTATTCAGTATTATATTTTTAGTAAAACAATATATTTCCCTTGCTTATTTCTCTATCGATCCTAATGATAAATAGTGAGTGATTGCCAGTTAGATGTAAGCAATTTCAGGAATTATTAACTGAATAATTCACTTAGTATTGTTTGTTTGGATCTTCCCATCGATGTGTTTAGGACTGTAACTGGTCAGTCTCTAATTGGCATACTGTGCGTATTGCCTCGATATACCTTAATTCACAAGCATGGTAATTAACTGAATAATGTTCATTCTTTTCAATTCATATTGGCAGTTATCATGAAGTCAGTGATTGTACTATTTTGTAAAGTTTATAGCGAAATGTCGTAAAATTTTCATAAACATGCTAACAGATATAATGATGTAAAAGGTCAACTAGACTGGAAATAGGGGTAAGAATAGACAAGGATAATAGTGATAAAATAATGTGAAAACAATTTGACACCTAATCACTCTGGATAATAAGCATATATTACCAGGGTAGGTTTAAAGAGAGAACAAACTGTTTTTGAATACACAAAGGGGGGTTGAATTTTCTTATGGCTAAGGCTCGGTGGGTGAGCATGTACCAAAATGGTTGCAAAAACAAATACATTCTAATGACCCAATAAGAGTAGAGGATAAACATCCATCATCCTCCATTGCTAAAGATATAATAATGTGTTAAAACAAACAAAAATAGATAATTTGAATTCACTTAGTATTGTTTGTTTGGATCTTCCCATCGATGTGTTTAGAACTGCAACTGGTCAGTCTCTAAAAATAGATAATTTGTTAAAATATTTAGATGGTAGAAATATGTAGCCCAAGTATTTATGCAAGCCGTTAAAGTTTTGAACGTCTTCTTACCATTATCTATCTAGTTATTGTTATAACGTGCACCTGCAATTGTTATTATTTTGTACCCGCCTATTGGTGAGGAGTGATTTATCTATCGAACCAATGACACACAAAACCCTTGAGAGCAGTCTGAAGCACTTGTCGGTCCTGCTTTCTGCCTAGTTCAGTCACTTAAGCCCAGAACACCAATAACAGTCTCTGCAATATGAATCATTATATTTCAAACCAATAAAATAGAAAAAAAATTTGTAAAGGACTCAGCCCAAAGTGGCTGTGAACGTGAGGAGCAGTAATTCGGTAATCATAAAAGCTTGTCATAAAACTCTTTTAAGTATCAAAATAGTACAATTGTAATCGTCTTACTGTTCTCTATCTTTTCTACAACTATAGTTCATAGCCTTTAGTGTTTTCTAGAAACATAGATAATAGTGTGTACTGTTAAGTAAGTGCATAGAACATGGTATTTATTCAACGGATTAATCAATCTGACTAAATATTTATAGTCTACTTATTTTATTATGAGTAGCATTAGAATGTTCTATTAAAATAGTACACAAATCTATAAAGATGTACTGTTTATTATTGATATGTATTTTACCAGACACGTGAACAACGTGTCTATCAAGTAATCCAGTTTGATTATCAGGATAATACTTTCATATAATCGAGAATATCTTATAATTACTATAGTTCAGTATGTTAATTTTAATACCATAAATAATCCTCTTTGCTAATTATTTCATCATTATTCACGTGTATAATACAATTCTGTACTTTCAGGAGTACTTAGTGTCGTATAAATCAGATTTTTGAACAAGTTAGTAAGTTCACTATACATCCATTTGAGGCATATGACACAAGATAATAAAAAAATCATAGAAATGAGCTTTTAATCAAAATGAAAACGTAATGAAGATTCTATGTTTAATACATTATTTATGTGAGATCACATTGACTGAGACTATATTCACATCGCAATGATACACAAAACCCGTGCGGGCAGTTATGAGTAGTTGTCAGTTCAAGCCAGTTAAGTCCAGAACACCAATAACAGCCTCTGCAATATGTATCATTTATATATACCAAACAAACAGACCACATCGTACCATAAAATAGAAAATGACATTTTGTACAAGATTTGGCCAAATGTGGCTGTGAATAGGGGGAACAGTAATCAATAGACTGGGGAATAATCAAGAATGGGAAATCGTATAATAATAGTTTAAAGTTCAAATTAAAGCTTATGATAAGAGGAACACGAATATAGATACTTTAGTTACTTAACAATTATATGGTAGGAAATATACATATAACATTGGTCCATAAATAAACCTGAAAAGTTACCCTTGATAGTTCTCTTCGTGATATAACAACTATCTATCCATATTGGATTCATGTATGTTACCAATTTGTTATCCAATAAATCTTCTATAATCTTAGTTATATTATAAATCTGAAGATTAATTTTTAACCCTTTTTCATACAAATGCACGTTTTAATGATTATCGGTTTTGAAAATAGAAAAAAAATCAATATATTTAAAAGAAGTAACCATGTATTTGTAAGTGTAAAAAAAAAACAGTAACAGGGATATTAGTAGGTAACTTAAGTCTGTACTTAATATGAAGGATACAAAAAATGTTATCGATAACAAGATGTTTTTATTCTCATGGTTGAAAGCTTGAGTCAGTAGAAGCTAGACCACCTTGGAAGCACTGGACTGCCGTTTCGTCCACTTTTTATTCAACTTATGAATTGATCTATATAAGAACTCTCGTCTAAATTAGAACGAATAGTTTCACAGTATTTGAGCGCCGAGTTGAAGTAAGACATTAAATAGGAATAATAAATTTGTAAAATCTCAGCGAATGAATTTTTTATTCGATAATTTTGATGTTTGATTATAATTCCTTGAAAAAGCTTGGACCAGATTGCCAGGCGAAACGTTGGATTTAATTTAAAAAATTCATTCGCTGAGATTTTACAAATATATTATTCCTATTTAATGTCTTATGAATTGATCTTCTATAGAATACTTTAAAATGATAAAATACGAATGGTAACTTTTCCGGAGGATTTATTGGATGTAGAATTAAGAAGAATTTTCATCTTCTTTCTCAACAAAGTCATCAGTGTCTACGATAAAGAAATGTAACTTTATGAAAATTACTATTCAAATGAAGAAATAATATTTATAATATAGTCATAATATAGCTAACTGATCCATCTCGAAAAGATTGATACGTTTGATTTAAGCCAATATACCTGCTTATTGTATATGGAACTGAATACCATAACTTACAGATTCTAAAATAAGATTGATTGTTTAGTGTCTATGTTATTTACTGTAGCCAAACATAACTGTTTTGATTTTACGAACTAATATACACATTGTTTCCTCGATTCTCTATGCCGGAGACACGGATGCGCGATGCCAAGGAGTTCCATATTACAATCAAACAGCTATTCATTGTTTTCTGGCTTTCAACTGTGGTCTAGCTCAGATTAGATTATGATTCAAACTGTGAAAATAGAAAAAATATCAATAAATATTCTCATTTTTTAAAATCATCCAATTGTTTAACAACACCCTAATATTAATGAATCACTTCACAAGTATAGATTGTCATATTTTCTACATTCGACTGTTTTCTTGTGAAAATATGACTTGTACAACAGAACATCTGAGTTACACAAAATGACCACCGAATAATATTGTAGGTCTTGAAAATATAGCAATTATATCAGCTATATGCAATCCTTTTTAAACCATGAAGTCGATATTGATAATATCAAAATGAGAAGGGGTTTTGGTGGATGTTTTAGTAATTTTATGGTTGAAATCATGAGTCCATAGAAGCTGGACCTCCACGGAAAACCTCTAAGCACTGGAGGGCCGTTTTGTCCCATTATAGAACTCCCCAGCAATGGGAATCCACAACCCCGCCTCACGAGATCCCGACCCAGGACCTATCAGCTCTTAACCTTTGAACCGCTAGGCCGGCACCCAACGGTGTTCATGTCTAGCTTCAACCAACCCACGGAATTAAGCAACCATCTACCATTATCTTTAGTGGTCTAGAGGTTAAGCGCCCGCACTTGAGACTGATAGGTTCTGGGTCTGGATCTCGTGAGGCGTGGTTGTGGATTCACACTGCTGAGGAGTTCCTTAACGGGATGAAACGGCTGTCCAGTGCTTCTAGGTTTTCCATGGTGGTCCAGCTTCTATTGACTCATGATTTCAACTATAAAATATCAAAATGATGCATAAACGTCTTTGTAGTTAAGAAGAAAAGGCGAATACCTGGAGCTTTTCACAGGATCTCCATCTAAACACTTAGCTCAACAATTATTTAACTTGACTGAATCTAATTGATGTAATTAGGTTTATTGACTATACTTGTAACTGTGTTAAACTATAGACAAATACAATTCCAAACATGGAGAAATGGCAGTGAAGAATTCATCATTTGGAATAACTGACAAATTATTTCTTTAATTTTGTTTCACTAATGCAGTACATGTAGAATAAAGTGTACTGAACTGGAAAATCGTTGCTGAGAATAATTCAGAATATCACTATTACTTCTATTATAATACATTTCCTACTGAAACTACTTGTTTGATAATATCATTTAAATATTAGTTTCATGTATTTGATGAATAAATTTGGATGCGCACTGTTGAGGAGTCCCATAATAGAACAAAACGGCCGTCCAGTGCTTCCAGGTTTTCCATGGTGGTCTAGCTTAAATTAACTCATGATCTCAACTATGAAAATCTGAACCTACCAAAATCGTATTTAAAATGATAAGATGCAACTTATAAAAGATATAATTACAAACAGTTAAGTAGCTCAACTAAACAAATGCCTTTAGTATATGTCTGTTATCATTGAATCAATATGATTGGTTAGATATTACATTCAGTTCACATTCAATTCAATTTAAACTCGTGTGCAATTCACACATCACACATTCAACATAAACCCAATATCGAAATTACCTAACAGTGTGTAAGATAATGAAAGAGACAATTGGTTCATGGAGAAAATTATGTATCATCAGGAAGAGATTGGATGGGAAAATTGCAATTGTGACAGGATGCAACGCTGGAATCGGTTTTCATACAGCCAGTGAATTAGCTCGTCGTGGTGCAACAATCATTATGGCATGTAGAAATATGAAACGAGCCAACGAAGCTAGAACTCGTCTGTTGGAAATGTATGGTGAGAATAATGCGAAAAGTGAAGAAACCGATGTTGCATGTAGTCAAGTGAAGTCATCTTTAAAGCCCATCGAGTCAGATCAGGTAGGCTATCATTGACTTCAGCATATTATTCTTAAGTTATATCCATTTTTTGAGGTTGAGAAATTCATAAATAGTCTCCGTCAATCATTGAAACCGGATAATAGCTTGAGAATCCTCAGTAAAACGCGTCAACAAACTAGCTAGTAACTGAATGGCACCATCTACTGAGATACTTTTATAGTGAGAGTTGAATATCATGTCCAGCTAGATCATGAGGTGAATTCATTGCTATTGTATTCATTTTTGTGTAATAAACAGTTACATGAGTATGGTCTTTAGGTAAATCACTTTTAATATCGCAATGGTGGTTTTAGTGGTTGAACTGATGAGTGGATTTAAGCTAGACTACTAGTGAAACGTGGATGTACTGGACTGCCGTTTCGTTCTAGTATAATACTTCTCAACAATGAGCATACAGGACGAAACGGCCATCCAGTGCTTCCAGTTTTTCAATGGTGCTCTAGCCTAAATCGACTCATGATTTCAACTTTTAAAATTACTTTAAGATATAATATGTAAACCATCAGCCTGTCCCCAACGACCCATATTACAGAGATATAAGTAAAAGAATCATATATTCATTTCCTGGTCTTCTCTGAGTTGATTGTTTTTCTCAAAATACTAGATGGAAATCTCAAAACGGTTATCGATAAACTGACTACGTTTTGTCATTTTAACATCATTTCATCTAGTAATATCGATCAGTATAAGAAGAAACAAAAGTTAATCAAGTTTAAGTTTATATTTGGCTTTCGATTCCAATTTTTGAATGTGTCAGTAACAATAACTTGTTCTTCTATTTTTAACACTCTATTGAACTGACACGATCTATTGAACAGTAGAAGGTTATTTGGAAATAACGTAGCCTTGTTTTAATGCACTTACATTTTTTTGGCACCATAACGTGTCATGCAAGTTGGGCTGAATGGTACATCATAGAAGAAATTAAAGATCATTAAGAATGTTGTTTGAATGGGACCCTCTGAATGATTGTTTCATCAAATCAGAATTTAAAACATTAAACCTTCATACTTAAACGTCAAATGCAAATAATAAATAACCAATGACATCTGACAATAAGGAATGTTATGCCTAGAAAAACGTCATCATATGCAAACAGTTTCTATCATTTTTAAGACTGTTAGTAGCTGTTGCATGAACAATAAAATTATAAACTTGATTGGTATCACGAAGCAATCCATGTTAAATAATCATTGAAAAACTGTTAGTACTGGACTTTCATTTCATTTTATTATGAAACTACTCGGAATTATCGATCCTCGTCTTCGTAGCCGAAAATTACATGCTGTATTTTCGGTCTCTTGCACGAATGTTTAACCTCTTCAATGATGTGCAAGTCTAAATTCAAGCAAACTACCATAAAATAAATTACTTAGATTTCCTACTTGAGTATACAGTTATTAATTACAATTGCTTTTCGTATAATATTATTATGTAGTAATCTCCCTTCATAGTAAGCAAAACGTTTACTAAAGTCAGTATACATCTTATCACTTTATGATTATATTATATGCATTTATACATTAAAATGGACCACTGAGCCGGCATCCAGCGGTGTTAATGTCTAACCAATCCACGAAATTGCTCGACCAGCTTCCATTGTACTGAGGTAGATACCTGACTCTACCTGACATGGAATAGCTCCACTGTCCACAACTTCTCACTAGAACTCCAGGAATTACCTCATGGAGCCAGTCAACAGTGAGCATATGATTACTATCACAAGGGGGGTTTTGTGGAGACTGTAGTAATTTTAGATAGCTAAGATCATGAGTCAATTGAAGCTAGATCACCATGGAAAACCTGGAAGCACTGGACGGCCGTTTCGTCGCACTGTGGGACTTCTCAGCAGTGAGAATCCACAATCCCGCCTCGCTAGATTCGAAGTTAGACAGTTCAGTGCTTCCAGGTTTTCTATGGTGGTCTAGCTTCAATCGACTCACGATTTCAATTATATAAAATTACTTAAATCTACACAAAACCCCCTCGTGATTCTTACTATCGTTGATTCATGATAATTTGTTTTCGGTGTCTTATTTTAACTAAACCTATCGGACACTTTGATACTTTTAACGTTATAAACTAATCCTCTACTTTTGATATTATTTCTTATTTCATTCTAGTTGATAATTGAACAGCTTGATTTAGCTTCGTTGAAATCAATCAGAGAGTTTGTTGATAGAATCAAAAGCAAATACAACAAAATTGACTTTCTCATCAATAATGCTGGAATCATACTACAAAACTATACAACAACTGAAGATGGTTTCGAAATGACTATGGGAGTGAATTATTTTGGACCATTTCTATTGACAGAATTATTGTTACCATTGTTAAAGAATGCTGCATCATCAAGAATAATAATTGTTTCCTCCATGATTCATGAAAGAGGTCGCATTATCAAACCAGATTTGCAATATGATCAAAAAACCTATAAAGCATTAAATGCATATAGCACATCTAAATTAGCAAATGTGATACATGCTATTGAATTAAGTGAACGTTTGAAAGATTGTGGTGTAGTGGCTGTTAGTCTACATCCTGGAATTGTCAATACTGAAGTGATGAGGGATCTGACAAGTTTTCCATCGGTTCGAATTATTTATTTTAGTGCTATATATTTAAAAAAATATTATTAAGATTATTTTCATCATAAACAAAGAAATGATAAATGATAAAAGTCCATACAGTTAAACATTCCAAACCCATAGCATAACAATTTTATTCATGATGACATGATTATACACATAGTGACTTGATAATGATGAATGCTATGATACAAAACTCATTAGGTGATCAATGTCATATAGTAAATAATCTTGTTTACATTTAAGGTATACTTATAAACACTTATTGGTTTGAATTATTATCGTATAGATTAGTTGATTTAATCTGCAGTTTACCATAATTTGCTTCCAGGTTTTCCATGGTGGTCTAGTTTCAATTGACTCATAATTTCAACTATGAAAATACTGAAATCTCCACAAAACCTTTTCTGATTTTAATCATATGCTCACTAGTGACTGACTTCAAGAGATATTTCCTGGAGTTCTAGTGAGAAGCAGTGACCAGTGGAGTTCAACCACGTCTGTTGTGAGATATCAACTCACTGAAGACAATTGGTGAACGGTTGCTCAAACATCGTGGATTGGTTGGAGTCAGACATTAACACCGTTGGATACCGGATCAGTGGTCTATCGGTTAATTGCTCTGGTGCGGGGCTGGTAAGTTCTGGGTTGGAATCTCGCCAGTGCTGGATCGTGGATGGGCACTGCTGAGAAGTGGGTCTCGCCATAGGACGAAACGGCCGTCCAGTGCTTTCAGGTTTCCGATGGCTGTCTAGCTTCAATTGACTAATGGTTTCAACTATGAAAAAATCTCCTTTGTACTGATGGATCAATAACACAGTTTAACGTGTCATATTTCAACGCTGTATACAACGAAAAACAATGAATAAAAAAGCTTCTAAAATGAAACTGGAAATAAAACGAAACTAAATATTCTATACTCTGATCATGAAAATCATTTATTATAACTGAGAGATATTATTAATGTGAAGTATACTCACTGTTTATTATGTAATCACATGAAATTACTATATCATAAATGATGTAGAATAATAGAAATTAGGATTACGATTTACAAGTGAACATTAGGGTTAGGAATTAGATTTCACGGTTTACCTCACAAACTGATATCAGCTGTAATGCCAAAATGACATTTAACCAAATGAGTGAATGAATTTCATGCCAAAATTCAAGACCTGTTATCTTAAAAATGATTGGTTCGTCGACTGTTCCTTACGATGTTTTCATCAAGTTGAAACATTTCACTTACAAAATTTAAGAAACTTTTTTTTCACTAATAACCTTGACTGCTTTTATGTGAATGTATATGTGTTTATCACTCACTTTAGTTATCACAAGTTTTAAGCTTATTTTTAGTCTGAGTATGAATAGTGAGTCATATTTTACCAAATGGAATCGACACGCTTGCCCTCCTTACTTCGTTCCGAATCTGCCATATCAATGATTGTTTGAGTAAACAAATGTTTGAAATATATGTTCCTCAAATATCTCCACATCCAACTCCTATTATCTAAGTTTCTATTAACGGGATTAGTTGATAGAGTTTATCAGAAATAAATAGTATATATATTTCACCACCGCCACCACCACCACCACCATCACCATCACCACCACCACCATCACCATCACCACCACCACCACCACAACCATCATCATCATCATCATCATCATCATCATCATCATCATCATCGCCGTCGTCGTTTCGTTATCCGCTAAAAGATAAATGGCCGGAGCACAACCTGGTAAATAGTATTTGGTTGACGATAAGAGAATAAACGAACATGACGTCGACCACTATTCAGTGATCACTCAACTGTAAACATATCAGCACGACAGGAAGCAGTTGCGAGTCGAACAGGTCATTTGTAACGTTTCCCCTACGAAAGTAGATAACAACTACATTAGGCGATAGTCCAGTATCTTTTGCTTACGAAATCTCCGGCAACACAAAACACAATGATTTGTGTCATAGTTACTGTCCACTGAATCTTGATTTTCAATGGTTGATAATGTAATAATGTAATGTAATAATAATAATAATACCAATTGAAAAAATTTCATCCAATGATTAGAAATTAATTACTGAAATCTTAATTTTAGAAAATTATACGACCATTGATTCGGTCTGTACTTACAACACCATGGAAAGGTGCACAAACTACTCTATATACTGCACTAACAGATAACTTGATTCCTGGAGGTTACTATTCAAACTGCACATTGAAAACACCTTCAAAATATGCTCAAAATGTGGAAGATAGAAAATGGTTTTGGAATAAAACATGTGAACTATTGAACATACAATGTGATAACTAAATTTGAATGTTTACACATGTAGAGTGTGTAGACAGAATTCTGTGTTCATTTTGATGATTGTATTGTGGCAGATTTGACAAGAAACCAGCTAATAGAATGTGATGATTTTCAATTTGGTGTTATTTACAATATGATTTCACTTTGTACACACTGATTTGTATGAATAAAAGAGTTAATAGTTTGTCTCTGTTTTCTGTTTGATTAATGGCTACTTGACTCGTCAATCATTTTTTACTGAATGATTACCTCTGAGACCAATAAATATCTCGTGGAAAACACTCATTATTCACTTTGTATGAATACACGTCATCAAATTGAAATCATTTTCCATGCGAAAATCTGATCTTCACTAATATTACTGAGAATACACTGCTGTTGTATGTGTAATATAACTGTTGATATTTCGGAGTAGACAACTATGGTTTATATTTTGAAATAAATAAATAAACACAATGCCAACCATTAACGTAGCACAAATGCCACTTCGGTTCACAGCACTACGGATAGTGTTTATATTCGACTTAATCAGATTCGATACTCCCAGTCTCCTTACTATGCTCTCTTTGATATATCATGATAACGACAGTCCAAATACTTCGTTAATAAACTTTTTGGTTGACTCCTCTTCGAAAATCCACCCCCACAGGTTCCCTCGAATTGGTCATAGAGACTTTAGTTGGATTGTAGCTAAAGGTTGATGTAACATTGATCACCAGTCACCATTGTTAAGTCTTGAAGATAAATTGAGTGGAATGGGACTAATGACGAATTGTTTATCTTTCAGTCATCAGTAGGATGGTATCAACGAAGAGATTAGAATAGACACTATAGCTGTTTGAGCTAGAATCCTGAACACACAGGACACAGTGAATCACAGAATGACCACAAACAAAGGCGTCGAAATGACAATAATAAACTTAGTTATAATCAAAGATGGATAGTGGCAAGTAATGGAATTCAGGACGCACATTTCGTCCTATTCGGGACTCGTCAGCAGGATGTATCTGCGTCTAGGGGTTGATATTCACTCTGAGACTCGAATCCAGTACCTTTCACTTCAAACGTCATCGCGTTGTCTACTCAGCTACTGAGTCCTGATAGCCACTTTCTTGTGCAATGGGGTGAAGTTTATATTCACATGGTATTGTTTGTTTGAATCCTCCCATTGATGTATAGGACCGCAATTGACCAGTCTCTTATTAGCATATGAGCATACTGTGCATATTGCCTCGACACAGCCTTAATTCACAAGCATTATAAGCGGAGATGGACTCAGTGGCTAAGCGTTTGAAGCGAAAGGTACTGAGTTCGTGTCCCAGAGAGAACATCAATTCTGAAATGCAGGTACATCCAGCTTACGGGTCCCTAAAAGGACAAATGCGCGTCCTGGATTCCACTGCTAGCCACTATCCATCTTTGCTTGCCATGCTTGTGAATAAAGGCTATATCGAGGCAATACACACAGTATGCACATATGCCAATAAGAAACTGATCAGTTGCAGTCCAAAACATCAATAGGAAGATTCAAACGAACAATACCAAGTGAATTTATAATCTTAATTATTTAATTCACTGTTGAAATGTAAATTGAATGACTAAAGATTTAGCTTCAGGATAATTCCATTCAAACTAAAACAAACATGAGTATAGAAAATACGTTGACATAAAAGAAACTGCAACATAAATTATGATATTGTTGTTAAGTCTGTTTTACGTTCATTGACCTTATTCTATTCCATTGTACTCTTTTGTGTATTGTATTATACTACTTATTAATATCCAGTAAATAGTTGTAATGCTAGCAATTTCAACACCTATGTTGTAAGGCATGTTTGTCGCGTATTATTCTAAAATATTTCCATATACTTATAACATTTATTGTATTTATCACTATAATTACTGTATCTCAATTATTGTAGCAGTTGCTCGCAATTTTTCTCAATCGTTCAACCCTTGTCTAAACGCAAAAGTTTCCATACAGTTAGCTCTTGGTTCGGTGTTTTGCTTGTTAATAGACTGTTACCAAGTTTAGACACAGCTAACAGATGTCATTTTCAATATCATATGTTGTAATCATTCTTTATTTTTACTGCAGCAGGAAGCCTTTTTTATTTCAGATCTTCAGATGCTGTAAACGCCACAGATACCTCACAAGTTGAGGTTTGTAAGTAATTTATGTAAATTATTCAATAAAGAACCGGTTTTTAGACAAATCGTTGTTTTGTGAACTACGATTTTGCGCGTTTCTCAATTGGGTGATTGAGACGTTTCGATCGATACAACAGTTCACACTTTCGGTCCAAATTGGTTTGAATCACCTCAGTAGACAACTCTAGTCTAAGATTGGTCCTGGTGATTTGGTCTGACAATGATGCGGATCAGGGAAATGAAGTACAGCACAAACAGTTCAGAAGAAACATATGATTTGATTTCTGAAAATATTGTTTTATCAGCTTCCAAGTTGAACTCACCTAATTCTTTAAATCTTATGTTTTGTTAGTGGGAAACCAAACTCAAAGGATAGTTGTCTCTTAGTTGACCCCAATGTAAGTACCAAATGTGAGGTAGGTGATGAAGAATCCATTCTTAAAAAGATGGAAGTAGAAAGCATTGAGTTATAGATTAGGCAGCTTGAGCATCGTAAAGGACTGTTAGAATTAAGACAGATACTTGTTAACAAGGTGGAAAGCGAGAATCGAGTGTTTGAGCAATCTGTGCCATCATCCAACGTTGTTGAGACAAATGTTGGAAGAAATAAGGCTGAGACATATGACTAAAATCTACTATTGGGATGACGTGATGGAAAGATCCAGGTCTCATAAAAACAAAGATGAGGACGCTGAGGAACTTCTGAGGTGTCTAACTGATCAGTCTGTTGGACTTCGCGAAGCTTAGAACTGTGAGCGAATTCAGAAGTGAAGAAACGTTCTGTTGACTGAACTACACGAAACCTCCTTCTTGAAAGAAAAGCAAATTCATGCTTCTGAACACGTTAACAATGACGCAGTTATTCACGATATGCAGAGTTATTTTCGTCATGTGTAACACGTTTAGCAACCACCTCAGGTTAATTTGCCTACTTTCTAAACCACATTCGACATTGTTCTGCAACACAGTAAGCCTAAACTCAGCATTTCTCACCACACAACCAATCATCTGGATCTGTTCATCATTAAGTATTTGTGATCTGTGCATGTATTGCACCTTTCCAGACTGTTTCGCACCCATTAATTAAAACAGGAATTGTATCAGTGCAGTAATCTCCTGCTGTTCTATATACTCTGCACTTTGTCAGCATATTCATCGAACAGATTTGTGTTAGCTGAATACTCCTTGTTGGTGTTAAAACAATCATGCACGAGTTGAGTCGTTAGACAGTGGTTGTTATAGCCTAGTGAAGATGAAAGTACGGGTAACTTCCGGGACCTAATAATGGACTATTATTCTACATATATTCTTATTGTATAACTATTAAATAACTTAATTATGTATATCTATATTCATCTTATTATAAGCTTCATTTTGACCTATGGGTTAGTATTATACGATTTACTGTTCCTAAATTATACTCAGTTTACTGATTACTGTCTCCCACATTCACAGACACATTCGGCTTGATTTTGTACAAATATTATTTTCTATTTTATAGAGTGACGCGGTCTGTTTGTTTGGTATATAAACCAAGTATGCTTGAAATAAATGATTCACATAACAGAACATGTTATTGATGTTCTGGACTTAACTGGAAGTGCTAGGCGAATAAAGGATCAATAAGGATGCTAGGTTGTTCATACCGGTCGAATGTCATTGGTTTGGCATGATGATGGATTATACATTGGCTTCAAACCTGTAGGAAGGTAAATATTTAGTCAGTTATCAAAATCATGGACTGTAATGCTTTTTCAACAGTATTATTTATGCAGACAACTATATGGATTTCGTGGAGAAATTTTCGATCTCTTTTGTATAGACGAAGACACTGTTAATTCGAACTGTTGGAGCTAGTCGTACATTCAGAAAAACTGAAGTCAAAAGTTGTGTTGGTAACACGTCTCAACGTAAAATTAAGAGACGGGTTTGAGTTTGATGCAAGTATGAATAACTGAAATGTTCAGTAGGTGACCTATTCGTGTTCATTTGTACGGTGGAAGAATTTATCTGTATTGGACTGTGAAGAGATTGATCTAATATTGTGGCTAGTTCTAACATTTTACAGGACTGAAGATTTTAAATATGCGTCAATTTGAGACTTGTTACATCGGGCATTTTTAGGACTAGTTTCTGCCTTATTAGCAGCTATTTCGAAAATCATTTACCCCGAGGTACAGATTATGAGAGAGTTAGTTTGCATAAGTTCATTGAGAGCCCTTAATAAATGCTTCGTTCTGTTATGTGTGTATATAAATCTTGGACTTGATGAGTGTCCATTTAAAACTATGCACTCCTCAAATAATTTGGATGCCGGTATTACATACTTTCTCTCAGAACTTAAATTCATTAATTTTTCTTAGTCTAAATTACCAGTGAATCTGAGATCTGCAAAAGCGTGATGTGTTAAATCGCTCATAAAAGGAGTACAGTAGATGAATCTACGTTATGTCAGTAAACATTTTCTTTTATAAATTGTAAGTTTTATTGGCTAATAAATGAACATTCAACTATAAAGTTTATTGAGTAGAATACTGATCGATCAATATTATGCAATTATTCAAAGTGTAATCGAGTGATAACAGCTCACTAGACCGCATTAATAACTCAAGTCTGTGAGTGATTCGATAACAAAGATAAGACCTTTAACCAGAACAATAGGTTTTTATAGCGAAACAACATATAAGTAAAGAAAATGAATAATACAACTGAAGTTAATTAGTTTGCATGTCAAGTACGTTCCAATCAATTCAGACCAGACTGTCATGTATAAATTTTAATTATTGTATCACCTGCCCCACAAATTGACGTGGCATCTAAAAATATAGGTAATGGAACGGTGTAGACTAGGAGATCAGAAACATTGCTCGATAGCATAGCTGGTGCTATGAGAATGGGAACATCCTGAATACAGACCTCCACAATCATGGAATCAATGAGACATGATGTGGTTGTGCCTTCATATCAAAATTATGGACTCAGTTTACAGCATTATACACTTGATCTCATTTGATCCAATTTCTAAATGTAGAAAACTGATCCCTTTAATTTATATATCAAAGTATTTTTCCTCCAAGAGTTTCATCTGAACCTCCAGCTGGTATGGAATACCGAACATAACGTTATGTCATTAACCTCATCTCTATTCTAGCAACTCTGAGAAGCATGTAACATCATTCATTACCAATGTTCAACCAATCATTCCCAGTCAAATTAACAAGAGAAACAATTCTCGGAAACGTTAAGTTGTCATTTATGAACAACCGTGAGGTAGAAAATAGAGCTTCATGTCCTACTCAGAACAGAACGGTGACTATTAATAATGTCGAATGATGGGTTTACTCCAAAAATCAAGATACGCAAGAGACTGTCGATTACAGCACTCTTACTGAGTACTTAGGATAGACGTCGGGAAACAAATGTCAGTAAGTAATGAAGAACAAATCACAAAAAGACATACAGATTAGGCTTAAGAGTCATCTTTATTTACCACACTGAAGAAGATCCATGGTATATGTGTTATATCTGGACGAAGTGTAAATGAATGGTAACTGCTGAGAATGGTTTACGGACTATTATTACATATATTCATATTGGATAGGTATTAAGTAACCAGATTACAATGAATATGTTTTTTTTGTATCGGAATGAGTAGAAAAATTGTATCTCTGACGTTTTGTGACTTAATATATATACAAAGATATATTTATTATCAACTCTATACCAGATTATAGATATATACATATAATACCTCGATATGGCCTTAAATCACAAGCATGGTAAGCAGAGATGGACAGTGACTAGGCAATACGCACAGTATGCATATATACCAATTAGAGACTGACCAGTTGCAGTCCTAACAAATCGATGGGAAGATTCAAACAAACAATACTAAATGAATTTGTCTCTGCATGCGTTCGCTCACGCTCATTAGCCTCTCTGGTTCAATGTGCTCGATATGCTTGTAACTTTGTTATCTGTGCTATCAACTAATAAAAGGTAGTTGCCGATACATATTGCCTTCTGAATTCATACGCCGTCAGAATTTATTTATTAACGGTTCTCAGGCTGAATAGTAAACGAAACCTCTGAATCTATCTCGAGGCAACGAGCCACTAAAAGTGTCTGAAGACATGGAGATATAAACATTAGTGAAAATGATGTTCCGTGTTTCATCATATTCAATGATTCTTACACTCATCTCATTCCGTGATGAAAACTATTTTCAAGTCGATCTGTTCAATAACAAACAAAACCACAACCAGTCAAATCATTCATTCAATACTCATACCATCCAGTCAAGTAACAATCAATCAAACAGAAAAACACAGACAAACTTATGACCTGTTTCGATTATATGTTTGGCAATAGAGAATGATGAATGTTTATCCTCTACCATTATTGGGTCATTTGATTCTATTTGTTTTTGTAACGAGTGCTCCAATCCCTATGTATGTGTGGGAGGAGAAATCATGAACTGAAAATTAGTATGGGTGAACATGTACCAAAATGGTTACAAAAACGGACAAACTGTTAACTATTTCATTCACGCAAATCAGTGTGTACAAAGTGAAATCATATTGAAAACCATCATAATCTATTAACTGATCTCTTATCAAATTTGCCACAATACAATCATCAAAATGAACACAGAATTCTGTCTACACATTCTACATGTGTATACATTCACATTTAGTTACCACATTGTATATTCAATAGTTCACATGTTTTATTCCAAAACCATTTTCTATCTTCCACTTTTCGAGCATATTTTGAAGGTATTTTCAATGTGCAATTTGAATAGTAACCTCCAGGAATCAAGTTATCTGTTAGTGCAGTATATAGAGTAGTTTGTGCACCTTTCCATGGTGTTATGAGTACATACGGAATAAATTTTTTCAGAACATTCTATAATGAATAAGGTCAATATTACATATTTGAATAAACAGAATAATTCATAACATTGACAGGTTATTACAGTATGTATATTGATAAATCCTAATGATTTATAAAGTTTTGTATATAAACTTCATATATATAGAATATACATGTTGGGAACATACTCAAATATTGTCCTGTGTATTTCATTGCTTAGTAACAGTTATTATACGAAAGAAATTAGATTCATTAGGCATTAAATCTCTGCGTCAATAAACACGTTACGACTATTGTAGTGTGGGTTACTGATATCCACATAAGTAGTATTGTGGTGTGGTCTACTTATATCTATCTTGGAAAATGCATGAGCAACGGAATTAGAGAAGAAACAATGAAGATTGAAACAATTGGTTGTTAATTTGCAAATTGACTGTTCATCGTTTGGTTATCAGAATTTACTGAGATAGTCTGTAATTTTTGCTTAAATACATTCGATTGTCCCCAACAAGTGTTTTGTTCACTACAGTATAAGGTGATGGTCAGGGATTGAATGTATTTCTGTAGAAGATTGATGAGGAGAGTACGAGAACGGCACGCAATTGATACAAAAATGCATGAACAATTTTAATCGGAAACTGTTGACGGATATTTGCAGAAGAAACAGTCAAATTGAAACAAATTAACTGTTCCCTATATGGTTCTCATATTTTCATTAGATATTCTGTAATGCTGTGCTATAATACATTCGATTGTCCCCCCAACTAGTGTTCTTATTCAGTACACTATTTTATGATCAATTTTTATTATTGCACTAAACTAAACATTAACCAATGATAAGTAAGCGTATAAAACTCTCTCACCATAGGAAAACTTGTCAGATTCCTCATCAATTCAGTACTGGTAGCTCCAGGATGTAAACTAACAGCTACTACACCACAATCTTTCAAACGTTCACTTAATTCAATAATATGCATTGCATTTGCCAATTTTGATAGACTATAAGCCTTCATTGCCTTATAATTTTTCTTACTGTATTGTAAACGAGGTTTTGGAATGCGACCATCTTTATGGAGTGAAGATGACACATTTATTATTCGTGATGGTGCAGCATTCTTTAACAATGGTAACAATAATTCTGTCAATAGAAATGGTCCAAAATAATTCACTCCCATAGTCATTTCGAAACCATCTTCAGTTGTTGTATAGTTTTGTAGTATGATTCCAGCATTATTGATGAGAAAATCGATTTTTTTGTATGTACTTTTAATTCTATCAACGAATTCTCTGATTGATTTCAATGAACCTAAATCAAGCTGTTCAATTATCAACTAGAATGAAATTGAAATATTGTAGAAGAAGAAAATTAATGAAAACCTTCAATAAAGTAATGGTCTCGATTGCTTCAGTAAAATTTCAATATAGTATAGTGGGACGCAAGATATCATGCATTTGATTCATTTTAAAAATTCGATTAAAGCCTAAACAACTATTGAGACATAATTATATGATATCATTGTGTTTCATCGTTCACCTTCAGTTTCTTACATCCATATATGTAGTGAAGTCCACCCATATTTGCAGTTATTATTATTTTCCATCATTAGTATCGATGATTTCATACTGTTTCATATTTCAATGTTATACATCACTACATATATGATTATAAGAAGCCTACGAGGAGACGCGAAATATAATGAATTCATCTGTTGTTTTAACCTTATTTGGGCATTATAACATTTGATCTTAAGGACTGAGGAAAGTTAGCTTTGAATGCTTTATGACCTGTTAAATAATTGATTGATAATTAGGTGTATGATATATGATTGCACCATTAGAGACAGTGTAATGAGTAGATTAGTTCGACATGTCTATCATTACCAACATGAACACTTTCATTGATTGTCAGCAGGATCGATCAATAAATGAGAAAGGGAAGTTTGTTGAAATACTTTATGCTGAAATTTCTATATCGTACCAAAAATATAATATTGAATGAAGCTCTAATAACAATAATAAAAGTAACTGTGTTCATGGTGTGTCGGCGAATCAACGGATGAGTTCATGCAAACATGTTTTCTCAACTAATGAATATTCCAATCAATAACATGAGCTCGTCAAATTATTTTAAATGTGATTCAGTGATCTGGAAGAATCGTATTTTCTACAAGGCATGAATATTCTTGTGTTGAGATTGAGAGAGTGAGCGATGAGGTGTTTAATCTGAGGTTAGTACCAAGCAATTGTTGAATGCAAAGCAGTTATAAGTAATTATTATTATTATTAATGGCTTTATTCACTATTATAATCTGGTACAATATAGAATTCTCAGCACGAGTTATTTCAACAAGATTTTTTCCCAAAAAAATAAAACCAAAAAAAGAACAACAACAAAAAACAGAAATAAAATATAAAAAAGGTTTAAGAAAATCTGACTTTATACAAATTATCGAATATGAGACATGCTTAAGAAGACAGGTTATTTACTAGGTCAACTCTAACATCCTGCTGATGTTAGTTTGTCATGTAAATCGTCTGAAAATACAACAATATCCACAAATACATACTTTAATGACATGCAAATAACTCGAAGAGAATATGAATAATTCAGTATTGACATACCTGATTCCAAAAGATGGGCTTTAAAGATGACTTCACTTGACTACATGCAACATCGGTTTCTTCACTTTTCTCATTAATCTTACCATACATTTCCAACAGACGAGTTCTAGCTTCGTTGGCTCGTTCCATATTTCTACATGCCATAATGATTGTTGCACCACGACGAGCTAATTCACTGGCTGTATGAAAACCGATTCCAGTGTTACATCCTGTCACAATTGCAATTTTCCCATCCAATCTCTTCCTGATGATACATAACTTTTTCCTTGAACCAATTGTCTCTTTCGTTATCTTGGACATGGTAAAGTGATTTCGATATTGAGTTTATGTTGAATGTGTGATGTGTGAATTGTACACGAATTTAAACTGAATTCAATGTAATATCTAACCAATTATATTGATTCAATGATAACAGACAATTACTGACCGTATTATTTTGTTTATCTGCGGTACCAGTCGCATACTTTTAGATGTTATTTTTTTTATATCAAACTCGGCATATTTTGATCATTCTTTAAATGAATGATATTAGACTGAGAATTTATATGTGGTCAGATAATTACCTTTATGCGGATTCAAAATGTTCTATAGAAGGAGTCAGAAAAATTCTCAATAACAAGATTATTTTCAATTTGGTACTCGTTATCAATTTGACTATCCACTGTTGAAGCAAATACTAAATGGCTGTACCACGTCAACGGGAATGGTTCGGATACTATTTTATACGATAAACTGGGAAGTGATTATTCTTCCTTGTTTAGATTACTATGTATTAGAGACTTAGTTCAACCATCGACACAGTCAGTAAACTCATTTGTTTTAAGAAGATCCACTCAATTAAGATAGCACCAGATATATATGCGATATACTATTGAATTCAGTGGGAATTCAATGTATCGATACGTTGGATGAAATCATTGAATTTTAAATTTCGAATGTGAACAATGGTCAGCCAAAAATGAAACAATAAAACAAGAGAAAATAGATCAGTGGAAATTTAATAGTTAGTTCAACTTGTTCTTATAGACAAAGATTTGGCTATTTTGGTTATCCTTACAAATTTTGAAATGCACTAGATATGTACAAAAGTATGTGTTGGTTGATTGAATTTGTTCTTATTGGTAAATTCGTAGGATTAGTCTTATACTATGTGGTAACAGTCAACTACATTTTACAGAGTAGGAAATTTCATGTTTCTAAGCTGAAATTCACTGAACTGCTAGGTGTTGTCTCAAATACCCAGAATATATATTACGATGAATGCCCATGTAGATATTAGGTGAATAAATATGTGTTCATCGATTCGGTCAGTCAAAGTAAATTACTGTTTAGGAAGATGTACTTATAACTCCGCCTGTAGCTCCTCTGGGGGTTACTGCCGGTCCCAAGCCCACACAAGGGAGGAGGGTTGGGCATGGGGTTAGCGACACCATCCCGTAGAAAATCAACTCGCTAAAAAAACTCTAACCAGAAAAAATCATTCAAACCTTTCAAACTCTGCTCTGGGAGTAGAAGGAATAATTATGACGTCTCATGATGAAAGCCGAGTTCTTTCGGAAGTCATGAGGCCGATGCGCCTTCTTACAACCAGAGCAACAATTTTTATAGGTACATGGAATGTCCGGACAATGTGGGAGACCGCAAGAGTCTTCCAAATTGCTGCAGAAATGAGAAAATATAACCTGGAGGTTCTTGGAATCAGCGAAACACATTGGACGGAGGTTGGACGACAACGATTGTCTTCAGGAGAACTTCTGTTATACTCCGGTCATGAAGAAGAAAATGCCCCACATACACAATGAGTTGCATTGATGCTGTCCAGAGAAGCACAAAATGCACTTCTTGGATAGGAATCTCATGGACCGAGGATCATCAAAGCCTCCTTCAAAACAAAGAGAGAGGGCATTACAATGAACGTCATCCAATGCTATGCGCCTACTAACGACTACGATCAAGACGCTAAAGACCAATTCTACGACAGGTTGCAGTCGATCTTTGAGAAGTGCTCAACCAAGGACCTGAACATTCTGATAGGAGATTTCAATGCCAAGGAGGAGCATCAGAACCGACAAACGTAAATATGTGGAAGATTTAGCGATGACAGCGGAAAAGGCTGCAAGAGAGGGAAACATGAGACAACTGTATGATACAACAAAGAAACTTGCTGGAAATTACCGTAAACCAGAAAGACCAGTGAAAAGCAAGGAAGGCAAAGTAAACACCGACATTGAAGAACAACGAAACAGGTGGGTAGAACACTTCAAAGAACTCTTGAATCGATCAGCTCCACTGAACCCACACAACATCGAAGCAGCACCCACGGACCTCCCAATCGATATAGGCCCACCAACAATTGAAGAGATCAGCATGGCCATTAGACAAGTCAAGAGTGGCAAAGCAGCGGGACCAGACAACATCCCGGCAGAGGCACTGAAAGCAAATGTAACAGCAACTGCCAAGATACTTCACATCCTCTTCGGTAAGATTTGGGATGAAGAACAAGTACCAGAAGACTGGAACAAAGGACTTCTAATCAAAATACCAAAGAAAGGTGATCCTAGCAAGTGCGACAACTACAGGGGCATCACTCTTCTCTAAATACCAGGAAACGTTTTCAACGGAGTATTGTTAAACAGGATGAAGGATTCCGTGGACTCCCAACTTCGAGATCAACAAGCTGGATTTTGTAAGAATAGATCGTGCACAGATCAAATCGCAACTCTACGTATCATTGTGGAACAATCAATCGAATGGAACTCATCACTCTACATCAACTTCATCGACTACGAGAAGGCGTGGACAGGACGACACTATGGAGGCTTCTTCGACACTACGGCGTGCCTGAGAAGATAGTCAATATCATACGGAACTCCTATGATGGACTAAACTGCCAAATCGTCCACGGAGGACAACTCACCGACTCGTTTCAAGTAAAGACCGGTGTTAGGCAAGGTTGCTTACTCTCACCCTTCCTCTTTCTCCTGGTCATCGACTGGATCATGAAGACGTCAACGACTGGAGGAAAGCACGGGATACAGTGGACAGGCAGGATGCAGCTTGATGATCTAGACTTCGCGGATGATCTGGCTCTTCTATCACAAACGCAACAACAAATGCAGGAGAAAATGACCAGTGTAGCAGCAGCCTCAGCAACAGTAGGTCTCAATATAAACAAAGGGAAAAGCAAGACTCTCCGATACAATACAATATGCACCAATCAAATTACACTTGATGAAGAAGCTTTGGAGGATGTGGAAACCTTTACATATCTGGGCAGCATCATTGATGAACACGGTGGATCAGATGCAGATGTGAGGGCGCGGATCAGCAAAGCAAGACCAGCATACCTACAACTGAAAATCATCTGGAGCTCAAAACAATTGTCAACCAACACCAAGGTTAAAATTTTCAATACAAATGTGAAGATAGTTCTACTGTACGGGGCGGAGACGTGGAGAACTACGAAAGCCATTATCCAGAAGATACCAGTTTTTTTTAACAGTTGTCTACGCAAGATACTTCGGATCCGATGGCCAGACACTATCAGTAACAAGTCACTGTGGGAGACAACAAACCAGATTCCATCCAGCGGAGGAAGAAATCAGGAGGAAGCGCTGGAAGTGGATAGGGCACACTTTGAGGAAATCACCCGATTGCGTCACAAGACAAGCCCTCACATGGAATCCTGAAGGTCGAAGGAGAAGAGGAAGACCAAAGAACACATTACGCTGAGAAATAGAGACAGACATGAGAAGAATGAACAAGAACTGGATAGATCTAGAAAAGAAGGCCCAGGACAGAGTGGGTTGGAGAATGCTGATCGGTGGCCTATGCTCCATTGGGAGTAACAGGCGTAAGTAAGTAAGTAAGTAAGTAAGATGTACCTATGAGTGGAGTACATAAAGTATCCACAGTGAAATTTAATAGATTTAGTTCCCTTTATTATCTTGAATAGAGAAAGATCAAAGAATTGAATAGAATAACATGGATTCGTTTGTTATTTCGTTATGTTCTCATCAGCTGCTTACAATCTATAATATTTAGAATTGAAATTATTGCAAAGTTCAAATACTAATAACAATGAAGATAGATTTGTATCATCATGGTAAAGTAGTGAGATTGAACACATATAATGAGTGTTGTAAATAAATGATAATATGTGAAAGACGATACTGGATCATCAGACATGGTAATAAATAACTAATAGATTATATAATGAAGGACAGTTGAGAACCTATGCTTACCATGGTGACTTTATCGTCAGTCTACTATATCAGTCTCGCAACTTTCTTTTTCTCTCTCCTAGTTGTAACTGCATTGCTTATTTCAAAGTCATGATGTTTTTTTACTTGACTGATCTGAACTTATGTTAATTGTATAGTGTCGATACTATGTTAAGCCTATATAACTTATTCTAGTTTCTGAACAGGCCAATTTGTCCATTTTTCTTTAGTCACCTTTTGAACTTGACTTATCCACCTTAACTGTTCTTACATCAGCGTATGTGTGTACCCATTTTAAACTATTCACCACATATCTGTAGCTTATTTTTGTATGACTATAAAGATTGAATAACGATCCAGTGCACGTCATTTCACTTCGTTCTCTTCTCTTTGTTTCTTCGATCGTTTGTCTGGATTAACGATTGTATGAAATATACGTACTCGAAATCCATTGTTGTATTTGACTTATTTAATTCCATTATACATTAATGTAAATTAGGTCGATGATTATATACGAGTATAGGTGACATGTGTATTTCGAAGACAATCAGCATACAATCCGATTAGTGTCAGATTTCGGGCTGATTATTGAACTAAACTACGTAAATTAAATAATAAATTATAAAATCATTCAAGTAATTCTTTCTTTTTAGGATAATGGATGAGCAATGATGAAAAGTACCATACTAGCACGAAACGGCCGTCCGGTCTTTCCAGGTTTTCCATGGTGGTCTAGCTTAAATCGACTAATGAATTCAACTACTAAATTACTAAAATCTCCACGAAACCCTCTTCTGATAATTATTGTCCATATGCATGGAATTTTAAACATGTAAAGAACTGTGTATATGTTAGAATACAGATTTCCTCTACCGTCCATTGTCAAATTTTGAATGACCCTAATATATATCCAATCAGAATTACTCAGTTACACCTGTTGTCCATCATGATGGAGCACCGGTTTTCCACCAGTACTCTATATTGAACTCTCTCCTGAGAAATCCATTCATAGTGCACATATATAAAAAATGGATCTTCAAAATACAGACCTGAATATCATCAATTAGATAATTCAAC